TCATAATAATATTATAACTGAATAGAATTTAGATTACAAACTAGATAATTTAATAATATCTATCTACAAATTCGGATTAAAAGAATTAAAACAAGATATCTATCTAGATATTCAGTTAGATATCTAGATTCAAGCACTAGCAAAAGGAAGCTCTACTTTTATTAATAACTTGGTTTGAAAAATTTGATCAAAATATGTAATATAGTATATTTAAGAGGGTGTATTATTTTGGGTTCTACTTTGAAATCCTGAAATTATTTTTCTGAAAGGACATAATACTAACTAAATTGGCTAGCAGTATAGCTAATGCTGACTAACTTTGTCAGTATTATGTCTTTTTTGGAAATCTGTCTTTTAGAATTTCAGGGTAAAACCTCATATGGGCAAATTTAATATAAATAAATTGCCATGTAATAATTCAGCAATTATATATGAAATCAAAAATTTTTATTGAATGTTGCTCTGATTTATTTCTTTATTTAGTAATTTTCAATCAGATTTTAATTATAACAAACATCATATTAATACATATAATAAATTAATTAGTTGGTTATACAAATTTGTAATTTGTTTATATTAAACTATACATGTAAATCATTTCTTGAATTATCATATCAATGAGTCAAATCCGCTCATATATTATTTTGGAACACACATAAGTATTATCTTAAGTCAAAAAACAATTTTCAAAAAAATAAAAATTGCCCATGTGTGCCCAATACAGTAGGCTAAAATATAGTTTATTTTAGTTCAATATTGAACTTTTAGGGATGTACCCAGTTCTAAGTAAGACCAGAACCATGGAACCAATAAGTCTTATACAGATACAAGCATATCTCTTTATAATTACATTTTTGGGACTATAGAAACTTTTTTAAAAAAATGTTCTTGTAAAAAGGTGTGCTTATATAAAGGTCTTTTGATATATATTAAATAGTAATTGGGCATAAATAAAGGTGTAATTATAAAAGGTTTTTATGTTATGTGATTATGTAGGGGTAATTATAAAGAAGTATATCTGTACAAAGACCCAGGTGACAAATAATGTAGATTACTTTTTAAAGAACTTTTTATATATTGATGTGATAAATAATATATATAATACTTTACTTCTAACTTTTTGACAATTTTTTTTACTAGTAAAGTATTTAGATTTAAACATATAATTTAGATTTTTACTCTTTTCACTTTTAACTAAAGTTATTACATTTGGATCTTAGAATTTAAAAATATATTTTATCTTTTGTTTTTTTATTTGTTATTCTGGAGACAAATATAATAAAGTATAATGTTAATTTTTTGTCCTTTAATATTTTAAAACCACTTTGCTTTTTTGTTTGTTACTCTAGTTTTTTGATTGCTATTGGACTTTTTTTTTATAGCATTTTACTAAAGTTTTATATTCCAAATTTTAAAAATTTTGAGTATAACACTTTTTGTTTTTTTTTTATTTGTTTTGAATTTTGAATACTTTTTACTAAATTTTTTTTCAGATATTTATATTATTTAAAATAGTTTATTTATATTTTTTATTAATATTTTGTTATATTATAAATAGATATAGCTTTTTTTTTCTGGAACAACAATGGGTGGAGGTAAAACCCACAAACCTGCAATATATAATATTATGGTATATGAAAATCGGCAGATATATTATTGAATTTATAATACTTCTACAACTTATTCACACAAAGTTATTCAAATTAAAAATTAAAAATACAATATATGAGGACCCCACAGCAAAAAGTAGCATTGGGTCAAAAAAAATTTTTTTTAAAAAAATACAATTTCTCGAAGAATTAAAGTAATTGGCATATAATTTTTATAAAATTACAAAATCAAAATTTTTGGCCTAATGTATCTTTTTGCTGTGGGGTTCCCATATATTAAAGTATATCAGATATATAGTATAAATTTTAACATTTTGATATTACACACAAATTTTTTTATTATATAGTTATAGATATAGATATAAGGATTTGTCCTGGAGAAAGGTTAGCAATGATTCTATTTTGCTATGGCATTATTAAGTTGCAATAGAGTTAGTATGCGTATCAATATTGATACTGTTAATAATATTGTAGTACTATATTTGTTATCAGAATTATTTATTTTTGTTTGATATTTGAATTTGTATATAGCTTTAGTTTAAATAAACAGTTGCAATGATAGTATGAATACTATCTGGATTTATTAAACTTTTTGACACTATATTTATGCAATTCAATTTGGTATCTTTACTTTTTTAAGAATCGATTCATTTATATTTAGTTAGATTATTGTTTAAAGGTTGTATTTGTTCAATTTTAGGGGTTTGATTTGAGCAAAAACTTTGCAAAATAGATATTTATATTGATTACAGGTAATTAAATTTAATGTTACCGATTAAAAATAAATTAACATCTTAATTTTTAACAAATACTATAAAATACAGACACGTGTACTTTATGGCATGTATTTTCTGAGAGCCAGTTTGTGATTTATACCTGAGTATATAGATATTATACACACTATATAGTAAACATATTGTCTTTATATGGTGTATCTACATATAAAGATACCCCAATACAAAATTAAGTACTAGGTACACATGCTCATATTCTATAGTAACCATGAAAAATATTTACAATTTTTAGTCAATTGTGAAACCAATACAATAAAAGACACTCGTATATTATCACTGCAGAACTTTGCTTATTAGATAATCATGAAGATTATTTACGATTAGAAATGTTGATCTGTTATTCCTATGAACATACTTGAAATAATGTGTTATTTTAAGAATTTGTATTGTTTGATAACTTGACTTTTATTATGCTTTCTAATAACTACAATATATATAATTTAATTCATATTAGAGCAGTTTTTAAATTCAACACTGCACCTAATTATGATAAACCCAAATGAAGTTTTAAATCTACAATAGTCACATATAATTTCTAACTGCAGCATAAAAAATCTCTTTTATTTAGCGACAATAATTAGTTAAAAATCACAAATATAGCAGTGCAGAGATTTAAATTTGTGTTGCTAGAGTTATGCTAAGTCACAATGAGTAATATAATTATGTTTTATGTTTAATCATATTTTCTTAATCAAACTTAAACCGATTAATTATATGACAAGTTAGCTGGTTATAACTGATAATGAACCGATTAATATTTCTAATTACAATTTGTAACTTGTAAAACTTATTTCTTTTATTCTATTTATTATTTCTTTCTACAAATTTTGTTAATGTTTACTATAATATTCTAAAAATAAACTGTTTAATAAGAATTTATTGATTTAAAAAAAAAATCTTCAAAAAAATACTTTATAAGATTGTCATACAAAAGAGATTGTTTTAAAGAAATATTAAATAACTTTTATATAATATAAACTCATATATCAAATAAATATTTAAACAAATAATTTATTAACAGTTTAAAATATAGTTAAATAAAGAAATAAATGCTATAGTAATAATGCTAAAATTTATAGTAAAAAATTTTTTGTTTATTAAATCATATGATATCGCAGATATGGAACATATTTGGTGACCGTTATATCATACTGAAAACTCAAATTAATTATATTCAAATAAAATGATCCAATCTGAAATCGCAAGCCTTTATTAAGTGTGAATAATATTTTATTTACATATAATACTGTAGTAAAAATGCTATTGAATAGAAGACAACTTTAATATTGAAACACAATGAAAATCACGTTAGAAAGTTTTATTAGCAATTATATTTATTAAATTTGTTATAGGACAAATTTCACTTCAAGCAGCTTCTATATAATGAATAAAAAGACAATTGGCCAAAGGCAAAAAAAAGTGTCATTTTGACAACAGCAGCTACTAACAAACTCAAAAAGAATACATATACATAAAAAAGAAAATTGCAAAATGTTAACATAAAAATAATTTATTTTGTTATATTTCTATTGAAGAATTTATATGGGTGATCTAAATGTTATCATTACACTTTATTATTTTTGATACTATCAAATCAAACTGATATATTCATCAAAGTCAAAGCAATAATTTTTTGAAGTTCACAATTAATCTATCTAGTGCTTTACATCTAAAATTATGATCAATTTCAGGTTGAAGAATGAAATCTATAGAGGTAATTGTCATGTTTTTAAACATCATACTGTATTTTGATCACAAATAATTTCATTGAGATATATGTTTAAGATTATTGCCAGTTTATAGAACATCTTGATTGAAGAACAATTAATAGCACTTTTAAGCTTATTTTTTACTTCATATCCTCTATATTAAATCCAATTTTTACTCCATCATTCAAATCTTCAATAATGGACGCGTTATTCAAATAATGGGGGTTTTTTCCTTTTTATTTGTGATGATATATGTAAAAAAAAAATAAAACCAATAAAGCAAGCTCTTCTTCATTTAATGTCAAAAGTAATCTTTTTATAAGTGTTATAGTTTTAAAATTGCCCTATAAGTTTTTAAAGAGATTAAGGTTTAAATCATACCTAAATAAAATAAGTGTGGTAAATTTACCTCAAGATATACTAAAATTCAACAATAGCAAAAGTTGGATATGTATCTATAAAATATATATAAAACATGCCTGCGAGATGCTTAACTAAATGAAACAAATATTAAACATCAACCTATCAATAAACAAATAAGTAAATCTTATATTAAAAATAAAATTAAATAAAATAATTAATTAGAATAAATAAACAAAAAAGTATATTAAAAAGTTATAAATAAATATGTGATTCTTATGCTTTTAATATTACCTGATCAAGAAAATTGACTCCATGGTTTTTCAGATTTTTGAAGAGACGAACACTTAATGAGTTTAATATATGTCATATTAATATAGCATGACAAAGTTTAATATAATAAAATAAATTATCAAATGCATACATATTACATAGACTAGCAGCAACCCAAAAATAAATAGAAATTAACCATAAATAGGAATGTTATAAACAATAGCTTTTACTATATCAATGCTTTCCCGAAGATATCATTTTCGACCCTCTTCATCAGTATATATACTAACTGATTCACTGAATTGAATATTAACAACAACTTCAAGACGTGGTAGCTCCCAAGGATTATTGAAATTTAGCCAATAACCAGGGAACTCTACTTAATAACCATTCTTTAAACTAACAATTAAACTTAAATTTAGAATAAATGAATATAATGATTTCGTAGTGAGAAATAAAAGTCCAATACCTTTGTTGAAAGATACTATAAGTATATTTAAGGCTGTATCCCAAGCTAATGTAGCTAAAGAATCTATATAATAAGCGGCAAGACGACTGAGACCTCCATTACCAAGAGTAGTATCAACTTCATCATCAAGGACATCCTTTATTCTAAAATCTAAATTCTTGATACCCTCTATAAAGGAAAAGTAAGTCACATACAAAATTTGAAAGTAATACACATATTAAAAAAAAAAAACGATATAAAATAAATTTAAATAATAGTTCAAATTAATAAATACCTCCAAAACTTTCCTTTAATCCCAAATTAAGAAGGGCATTATCCAGTAATCTACCCAATAAGAATTTCAAAGATGATAATAAACACGCTTTGGGTCATCTTCGGTGTGATTCTAAAAACACAAAACAAGTTCTTTCATTAATTATATATTAAAACAAACTTTGTTAATTTCTTGTAATAATATGAATATAAGAAAAATATACACATAGTATTATACCATAAAATCTCAAAATCGAAACTTGGCCTAAATTAAGCTTAATTCGGGCCAAGTTTCGAAATAACGCCCATGCCCACTATTTCGAGATTTTATAGTACAAATTTGGGCTAAAGAAAAACTCAGAACAGACCTGCTGTATCATTCCATCATTTGATTAATCGATCATAAGCATATTATATATTAGAAAACTCCAATAAGGATGATTTAAAGGACTATTTCTTTAAATGGCTTACGTGTGAGCAGTAACTTGATATGCACTAAAGTTATCTATATTATAGACGGATATGGCGAGTATTGTGGTCATGTGATAACGAAAAGATCTTTGAAAGCTTTCTTTGTTTGCGATAATGTAAATAAAATTATAATTCATAAGGACACGATATAAAGCTTAAGGCAATACAAGTTATTTCTTCAATTATTGTTATTACTGGCACTACACTTTTCTCATAAAGATAAAATTTTTGGATCCAACTTGATTGTTACTCTTCGTTAGCCAATAAATTACTAGAAATCTACAAAAAATAATATTATACCTCTTTACATTAAAGCTAAAGAATATTGAAAGCCTCAGAGAAAAAATGTGGTTAAATAATTAAAAATAAAGACCAGTACAAAGAATGTAAAATTGTTCGTCTGGAAAAATTTTACAATAAAAATAAAATTATTAATTATGCTTGAATTAGAGTGACCGGAAGTGATTTTGCTAGAACTTACCAAGAACAAGTTGTCCAATATTATCAACTATTTTTCCTTCATCTGTGTAAGTTCCCAATGAAAGGTTATTGTGACTATAAAGAAAAAAAGAAGTAAAAAGATAAGTAATCATTATTAATTGCATCCTATTCACCACAACCTTCATGCGAAGCAGGACAAGCATTTCAGGTATGCACAACAGAGAAGGATGTTCACAGACATTGCATGCTTGTAGCCATGATGTGCTTCCAGTTCCCCGATGCCTCCCCTAGTGGCAGCGTAACTTCAGATACATAAAGACAAAAATTTACTTAGTGATTTCTCATCTAAATAGAAAAAATAAGTAAAAAGATAAGTAATCATCATTAATTGTATCCTATTTACCACAACCTCCACACGAAGCAGGACAAGCTTTTTGGGTATATACAACAGAGAAGGACATTCACAGACATTGCATGCCTGTGGCCACAATGCGCTTCCAGTTATTTGATACCTTCACTAGTGGCAGCGTAATTTCAGATACATAACAATAAGAAATTTACTTAGTGATTTCTCATCTAAATTTGAGAATAATTTTATTTTGTCTCAGCCAAGTTGAAACTTCTTTAGTTAAATTATTTTGAATCAGAGTTTTAAGGAGATGGATTTTGCGAATTAACTTTGCTTAGGTTCTTGTTAAATATATAATATCTGGAAAACAGTAATTAGATATCAAATACTGATAATCATCAAATTTAAATTATTTTTTCATGTGTTATGATGTACAGTACAGTAATTATGTTTATTCAATTAAAATCTAGCGGATAACATGGCAAATTGTTGAATACAGTAATTTGACAAATGATTGCCGCTTTGCATCTGGTCCTGACTCGACTCAAAAGTAAAGTCCCAAGCACTTTGGCTCATGCATTTAGTATATATTTAGATATAGCAAAAAAACTTGGCATTTTTTAAATATACTAGATGCACATGCAGATGCGAGTCGAAGTCCCAAGTTTGCTTGGAACTGAGCAGAAGCTTAAAGTTTTTAGGACGTCTGAAAACCATCTTTACAGTACACTATTCTTAGGGTTTTTATTATACCAGTATAATAGAAATGGTAGTATAATACTAGGTATAATACTATATAATACTGTATAATATAGTATTACCAATATTTTGCTTTCTCAAATAAAATGATTTAATTGGCTAAATTGTTTTTAATTATAGTACTATATATACCCTCTGTATATAATACTGGTATTATATATATAGGTATTATAATATGGTATAAAGAATTTTAAAAACCATATAGTGCGCAATAAAGTACCCCACCCCTTATATTACTATATTAGTTTAACAGCCTTGAAGATTAAGTACTATATATGTATTCAGAATGAAGCAAAAAGCATTAGTATCCTAATTTTTTACAGTACCCCCATATATGGGTACTATTTGTAGCTAACACGAGTTTCTTAATTAATACCCGGGGTACTTACTGTGGTAGTCAGCTAAGCTTATATGCATATCGCGCTTTGCAAAAAGGATAATTGAATTTATTTTTTTAAAATTTAATATATTAACCCTAAAATTTGAATTGAAGCTCTAACCGAGTTTAGTGCTTGAATCCGTTCAAAAAATCTAGTGGATTTTCTATTAGATATCCGTTCATATCGGATAACGAGAATATTTTTAGATATCTACTAGTTGTAAACCCGTACAATAATGCACAGGAACTAATACAATATAATTTAAATATAATTTAAATATATATATATAAAAATTTATCTAATACTATTTTAGAGTTGGTGTGCAGTTTTAAATAAAGAATATATATATATATTATAATATAGATTAAATATAAGGTTTTAATTTTAATTTTTGTAAGGTTGTTAAAAATCATAGTTTTTATTTAAACTTTTTAAATTCAATAATGTAGTTTTTAGTGACGCCTTTCAAACTCTTTCTGACAATCATCTGTACTAAAAATCCAAACATATTTTTTGTAAAAAACACAATAGCACTTAGTAAAAAATGGAGGCACACTATTAGCTATAAGTTGGCAGTTGTTGTTTAGAGGTATTTCTTATATGCTACCTGCTAACTTCTTCAGAGTTTATTACTCACCACTTGCACGGCACTTGTGTTTAGAAGTAGTTCTCATATGCTACTTGCTAACAAGCCTAGAGTTTATCACTCGCTGAAAAGAAAGTATAGGTGCACATTCCTTTCTTAGAAGAAGGTTAAGGAGTGGTTGAGTCTTTACATAGATATAACTACTTTCCTTGAATACAAGTGGTCTCTCCATAGGTGTTTTTCGCTTGGCCAGTCTTCTCCAAATTTTTCAACAAAAAGTGGGCAATTTGGCTTACTCTCTCCAAAAGATCAGCATTGTTTACCTCCCAAATTCGGACGTACCCAGGAATGCAACCACGTGCCTTGTTTATCAGTGGATACAACATGTGATGTAATCTATGGATACAGGTTCTCCATGTGACTGGGATTGGGTCTCTGGCATAAGAGACATCCGGAGGTGACTAGTAGTCAGATATTAAGTTCTTATATTGTAATTGAGATATACAAACGTTGCAGTTGTTATAAAATTTTTTCTTAAACCTGGTACAGATTATAATAGTGTATTTTTTTTTTTTTTTTTTTTTTTTTTTTTTATCTCGTTCCCCTTATGCTATTTCTTTATAGAGGTAGTTCTTCTCTTTGTCAGCCCTCAGGCTTTTCTCTTTGGGTTTTTTTTTTTTATATCTCACTGTACCCTCCTTTTTTTTTCCTTTAAAATACCTCTTCGTTCTATGTGTGTTTTTTTAGTTAGGTTTTCGTTTTGTTTTCTTGGTAGTATTGGTGGTTTTGTATAAGATCATCACTTTTTTTTGCTCTCGGTAAAGAAAGGAGATATGAAGAGAAAAGCTTTGACAGGCTGACAAAGTTTATCTAACTTGTATACAGGTTGATGCGACAAGTCACATATGAGCACGTTTATCGTAGCCGGATAATGTCAGACTCGCTATTGCGATAACTCTCTGTTTGTGGTTATAAATGATACATGTATTGTTCGAGAGAGCTCAGCTCTCATCTAAATATAGTTGCAATAAATTGAGTACTGGCAAGACTGTCAAAGATTTAAAAAAAAAAAATAATAATGTAGTTTTTCTAAAAAATTTTATTTCTAGCAAATTTTAAAATTATTTTATATAAAATTATATAATTTTTTTTAATAGTAAATAAAGATTATATAACAGATGTTATATACTAAATAAACTCTTCAATAATAGTTTATCTGACTTTGAATTTAATATGCTTAACAATCTAAGCCTCTTCAAAGGATATATCTATATACACCCCAAAAGTTGATTTATTATTTTTTAACTAAATTAGTTAGGGTGGCCTGGTTAAGATTAAATTAAAGTTAGAGAAGCTTTTTATTAATACTCCAAGGTGGTGCAACTTGACTAATTTAGATTAAATGTAGATATCCTTATTTATCAATTTTAAACAGATAGATCTATAATATATTTTAGATTGAGGATAAGAATTATTCAGATTATGATCTTTACAATATACTTGTCATGATTCTAAATTAGGGATGTTATGGTCTATTAAAGACCAGGTTTTGAACCAGTTCATAGACTAGTTCAATTAGTTCACAGTCCATAATTTAGAACTGGTCTATATATTGGTCTATTAATATTTGTCACTTTCATAAAAATATTAATGAACTTGGACAATAGCATTATTGCTATATAATGTATAACTAGTAAAATTTTGCATGATCTGCAATTTTAAAGTGGCAATGCTATATAATATATTTATATATATGATATCTGCTTTACTGCACAAAATTAAGTAGCCAATCAGAAGACTATAATCAAACCAGTTCAGACTGGTTCATAGTTTTTGGTCCAATTTGTGATTCAAAGGCCAAACTGGTCTTTTTGAACTGAGACCAAACCAGACCGAACCGTAACATCTCTATTCTGAATGGTTAATACTGATAAACAGAAAATAGGATTTAATATAAATGCACATAACTATAGACTGCTTTTTGTGATACAACCACCTACTAGTAATTTAAAAGTTTTTTTAAAAAGTTTTTTTTTTTACTATATGAGCACTTTTTAATAGAAAGAGGGTAGATCTACTTTTTAGCAAAAAAATTTTTTTTGGTCTATTAAGTAAAGCATAGTCAAATATATGACTCTAATTAAATATTAAATTATGCTAGCTTAATAATTTTTTAAGTTTTATATATAATCTTTATTATCTAGTACTGTATATAGTACTGGTGTGATACAATTTTTACATAGTGAAAAATTAAAAATCACATGTATTGTACAATTGTTTATATCACATGACATATATAAATAATATTTAAAAAATTAATCTATATTATTTGTTACTAGTAGTTGTTTTAATCTACAAAAATGTGATTTTCTTAAAATTTATGATCAAATCTAAATAGAAATCTACCCCTTTTCTATTGAAAAGCACCCATATACATGTCTGTTTGTAGCACAGTTTTTTTATACAGTATTTGTTCTATATTATGTTCCAGAGTCTAATTTATACTCAGATAAAAATATATATCATAAATATAATAACTAAGACAAAACAGACAAAATATTATTAATAAAATATTATTGTTTGCATTCTTTTTAATTTAACAATTATAGAGATTTGTTTAGTTCTTATACTGAAAGTCTATTATCAAAGAAAACCAGTAAACCAGCAAAAAATTTTTAATTAGTAAATATTGTATTATATTGTATCAGTGTATATTCTATTTTTATTATTAAGTTAAAGAATATTGCATATGTGAATTGTATAAATTAGATATATTATTAAAAAACTAATACAGTATATATATTAGTGATAGACACTTCAGCAAAAAAAAATTTTAATATATAGTACAAATATCTATTATCAAAATACTAAATTCTAATTTTAAAAAGCTATTAGAATATTTTTATAATAACTTTCTCATCCTAATACTAACTAAGAAATAAAACATATCCAAATTGATCTAGTACTAGTTGTGTTTACTAGAAAAAAGAAAAAAGATTAACTGAGAGTGAAGCAATGCAGGAAAAAAATTATTATTTATCTTCTATACTTAAAAGGCTCATATTGTCACAATCATTATTAACAGAAGCAACCGATGATAGAACATTATCATCAATATCACTATTAATATTTCTTCATACTATGCTATTAACTATACAACTGCTAGGAGAAGCAAAGACTATAAAGAGCTGCTAGAATAATTTTATAATACTAAAAGCTCCACCTAACTGCTATGGCCCAGTTAACCTCTACAAAAACCACCTTGTCAAAATACAAAGCAACATTATCTCTAACAAAATTATTATTTTTTTTTAAGCAAAAAATTTGAGACAAGTAATTATCAGAAAAAGTGACTTAATTTTGAAAATATTTAATTTTATTTACTTA